TGACAGTCCTACGCCCCCTTTTACAGGTGGGGAAACTGAGGCTCAGAGAGTGGAACCGGCCTACCGAAGGTCATGCAGCTCATAGGTCCATAGGGTTTTAGAGCAGGCAGTGTAGTCTAACCCTCTAAGGTCCCTTCCAGCTCCAGACTTAGGATCCTATGACCCTCCCCCCATTATAGATGCAACCCCCCCTCCCCCAGCTAGCTGACACCATAGTGTGAGTTGTGCTAAGGACGCATCCTCATCCCAGGCTTACAAAGACTGAGTCCGAGGCCTCATTTAGGATGACACTGGGACTTCTGTCTATGTGGGGGCCCCGGAGAGATTCCCTGCCTGGGACTTCATGATTGGATACCTTACTTTTCCACGTCCGCTAGAGAAAAAAAGGGCTGGTTTTCCCCTCAGGTTCAGGCTGCAGTCACTTTCCCCATGTGTGTTTCTTTCTGAGTCACAAGCATTTCTCTGCACTAACTTTTGCGGAGCCATCTGGCAGGCTGCTTTGCCAGCACCAAGCTCATCTGGTTTCTCACCCGAGGGTGACGAGGTGACCGCCCGTTGACCCCAGATTCCAGGTCTCTTCTGGGGCAGCTACACGCGTCTGGGCAGATCTTCGGGGACCTCTCAGGTTTCCTCCTGAGCCAGGAAGCTGGTTTTCTTTGTCTTGAGTTCCTTTTTGTTACTGCCATTGTGTTGAGAGGGCTATTTCTATCACCAGGACAGACCGTGGTGAAGTACTAAGCAGGCAGGAATCTCTGGTTAACTCTGTGAAATGCTCTTCGTGCGCTGAATCCATGTACATCTATTGGAGGTGCTGGTGATTTTCACCTCTTTGTTGGTGAAAACTCCCCAAGATGGTGGCATTCGCCTGTTTCTGTAGTCTAGCCCTGGGGGACTCATTCAAGGACCATTCCTATGGCTCAAAGGACCCTAGAGAGCTCTTTTGGACTGGACATGGGCAGCGGGTTCAAAACATACCCTTGCCGATTTGCCCAGAATAGCAACATTTTAAATAGATGGAGAGAGATGGCAGAGGAATCCTGGGAGCTTGAGCTTATGGAAGCATCTGATGATGCAGCATGAAGAAACTGGGTCTCTACTGCAGAAGTTTTATGACTATTTCTGGTCTGATTGTCATTGCTGAGTCATTTCAGTTGTGTCCGACTTTCTGTGACCCTACTTGGGTTTTTCTGGGCAAAGATGCTGGAGTAGCCATTTCCTTCTCCAGCTCATTTTACAGATCAGGAAACTGAGGCAAATAGGGCCACACAGCTAGTAAGTGTCTGAGGTAGGATTTGAGCTCGGGTCCTTCAGACTCTAGGTCCAGCATGCTATCTGCTGCACCACCTAGCTTCCCTATACTGATCTGATGACTGCATGCTTTTTTGGTTGACTGCTAAGATGGAATTGGATTTGCATAAAAGGCACTCCTGTAGGGGCAGCTAAGCCCTTTTTCTCTGCCTGGCTGGTTCAAGTGAGGAAGACATACTGTAAGCCTCTGAGTAGAAAGGCAGAGAGGTCTTGGATCAAAAAGTGGCCAGGGAATCTGGGCCTCAGATGTTCTGTCCTGCTCTCAGGGGACCGGGGATCAGACTAGGCCGGGACCTTGTAAGCTCTGAAAGGTCACGAGTGAGAGCCAGCAGATTTCTGGGAGCTCGAGTCCACGCCAGAGTTAGAGAGCCCCGTGAGGAAGGAAGTCCCATGTGACCTGCTGACCCAGCCTACCTGGGGGTTGAAGGCATCCCGAGGGAGGCACAGCCACTCATTCATCAACTGTGCCACATTGGAGAGTGAACATAATGGGGGCAAAAGCTTTGTGTTCCCTACTTCAAGGCTAGGCCTATTCGTCCCAGGGACCAAAGTGTGCCCCTGAGGATGGGGAGGGGGAAATGTTTGGGGACTTCTGCTCTCACTGTATCTTCTCGGAAGATACCACTTTGTAAAAGCTAACTGAGATGAATTGGTTAAATGGTAACCAGAGTACTAGCTATCAAAGACCTTGGGGAGAAAACACTGGAATGGGGACTCAAACCGATAGAAAAAAAGAGAAGAATCGTCCCCATTTGGGGGAGATGTGGTCCTGCTCAGAGACCCTAAGTTAGAGTCAGGATCTCGCACACCTTCTTATATGCACCATCTGGAGGAGAAAATGGTCCAGCCCTGCCCATTTTGCAGAGGATGGAAACAAGGCCCTATTGAGTGCAACTGACCGCTCCTGACTCCTGGCATGAGGCTTTTTCCCACTGGAACCTACTGCGGCACATCAGGCTATGGAGGCAGGATGCCATACAAGACACCTCCAAAGTGTACCCCAGGCAATGCAACTGATTTCATTTAGCAAGAAAGCAGGATTAATTTTCAGAAAACGACCCGCCCTCCTGAGAAGAATATGAACCCTTCTTGCTGGAAAATGTTAAGTTTGCATTTTAAAAATCAGTTGCAAATCATCTTTTGGCAGCCTGTGAACATAACTCCAAAGAGGTTGACAAACTTGTTCTTTTGGAAGGAAGCTGAGAGCAGTAAATCCATCCCCTGGAAGGGGAAGCTCCAGGGGCCTCTTTGCATGATCCAAAGAAAAGTGCCAATGATCATTTAATCAAAAAGTGTTTGGTAAGCACCAAATGTACACCTCTGCTCCCATCTGCCATTTCCTTCTCTGCCTCCTGCCTGGGATTTTCAGCCCTCTTAGAGCAGGTAAGTGGAGGTATCCGCCACCCTGGACTCTGGCACTCTCCTCTCTGTTCCCTCTTCCCTTGGGGGTTCCGTCGGCTCCCACGGAATCAGCAATGATCTCCCGGCAGGCAGCTCCCAGCTCCAGAGCCCAGGGGCACAGATTAACCATTGGAAGGGTCCTTAGAGGTCATGAGTCCAGCACTGCCTTCTGCAGATGAGGAAACTGATCCACATCACATGATTTACCCAAGATCACCCAGCTAGGGACCTTCTGAGTCAGGATCCCTTCTCTCTAATTGCAGTTGAATGCGTCCTTCCAGACATCTCCAATTTAAAATGTCCAAAAGAAACCTCATGACCTACCCCTTCCTCCCAAAATCCCTAAGGTCACTTTTCTTCCAGCCCTGAATGGGGGATCAGAGAAAGCTTTTGAGCTCTTCAGCCTGAGGGCTGGTCTTGGAGTTAGGGAAGCCTGGATTTCCACCCCACCTTTAACACAAGCTGTGTCGCTATGGCCAAATCAAGCAGACACTCCAAGTTTCAGTTTCCTCATCTGTAAAGTGAGAACATAACTCATGAGCTTATGAGGTTCAAGGAGAGAATGAATGTGGAGTCTTTGCCAGCCAGTATTAGCTACCATCATCATCATCATCAGGAAGGTGACGTTTGATTTGGATGGATGGCATGAAGGAGGGGAGGAGATATTCCCAGCAGAGGAAACTGCATGAGCAAAAGCCTGGACGTGGGAAATGTCAGTGGTTGATGGATTGTCTAAAGAGGATGGAGCACAGAGTATGTGGAGGGGAACAGTCTGAGACAGAGTTGGGAAGTAGGGAGATGTCACTTAGTGGAAGGCCTTGAATGCCGGATGAGTCAGTTTAAGCTGTGGAGACAGTCAAGTCGACAGGCATTGATTAAGCACTTGCTGTGTGCCTGAAACTACGTTAAGTGCTGGAATGGTGAGTAGAAGGACAGAGAAAAATGTTGTGGAGGTCAAATGGACAGGGAATGGTAGCTGACTGGATGGGGAGAAGAGGGAGATGGGGCGTTAGAGAGAGCTGGGTCCTCTGCCTGACCCTCCCCAACTGTGTGATCATGGCTCATCACAACCTCTCTGGACTTCAGATGATTCCTCCACTAATGAAATCACAGGTCTCTGATGTATTGGTTTTGCGTGTGTCTTTTTTAGACAGAAAACCTCTGGGCAGAATTGCCCTATGGTCTAGTTTTCTGGAGAGGATTTGGCCATGGGATGGGAAATTTCCATAGTGCTCTAGGCAGCCATGACTAGAAATTGCAGAGAAGGGGATCACCTGCATTAAAAGAGGGAGTTTGTTTATATGGGAGTTTCCTTTCTCAGTTAAATCATAGGTCCAGTGTCTCTCCCTCTCCCTATTAAAATATTTTAAAACCTGCATCTTTTGTTAAGTGGGATTACTTTGGACTTGAGATGCCAGAGCTCAAAGAAATGGGCGCACAACAAGGATCGTCTTTCTCTGCACGGCCTCTCTCCTCCCCCAGCTGTTTTTTATACATGATGGAGGGTCGCTGGTGGCAGCAGGAGCTGCTTTGTGCCCTGCCTGCAGCTCATCCTGACCCCGACTTCATGCTTGGCTGTCCTTGATCCACATCCATGCTTCCCAATCTTTGTTTCTTCCAGGCTACTTGGTTAAGAAACCCCCTTGAAAAATGTGCCTTCCTACTTCCCCCATGTTGGCAGGTCTGAGTTGAGGTTCTGATCCTTCCCACATGCTTTCTCAAACTAGTTTTTGGCCTCCCTGGCTCCTGACTCACTTGGCATCTCAAACCCTCATTGAGTGCAGGTGCAGTTACTTGGGATACCTAGAAGTCAAAGGGCCATCCTATGGCAGGAGCAAATGGAATAAGATATTATAGCCC